TACAAATATTTTTCTAACAACGATAATTATAATTTTCGATTATAAAAAAGTTCATTTCCATATTAAGCACACGCACATACCCACACATATATAAATATAGTATGTAAATGTATATTTGACAAGCACTGTAATTTTCATGGCTGATTGCATTTCAATCTCACTCGACAGTTTGAAAGTAATTGCATATACATCCATGTATGTATGGAAAACTAATAAGATGAAATTTACATACGTACATACATTTATACGTTAATACATTTACATAAATGTATATATACCGTTATAAATTGCATGTAATTCCGTGTAATTTAATTGAACCTAATCGTAATTCTATGCAATCTCGTTTCTATCGAATTCATGCAAAGCAATTAGATTAGATAACAATTTAAAATGATTAGATATGCCTGCAGTTGAGTGGAATGCTAAGAGCTGAACTAAATTTAATCAGACATAAAGTACATACTCGGAAATAAAAAATAATAATAAAACGAAAAATAAATTTAATGAATAAATATTTTATTTTAAGATTGCGACAAAAATTTTTATTTAAATTTCTAATAATTTTAAATTTCAATTTCAAGCTCTCGCATATTAGAGAGTGCTCACTGTGCTTCGAAACAAGATCATAAAAGAAAATGGAAAATTTGTTGTCCATCACTGGCATAAGTTGCGAGCTATTGATTATAAGTGCAGCTATAAGCACACATAAATATATATGTATACATACACATATACACTTTTATGTAGATGTATATAATGTAGTTTTCTCATCTGTTTGCATCTGAGCGCTTTATAACCAAAGCAAATACAGTTGACAACTGACGACGACAGCAGCGAAACCAATACACACCCTCTCTCACTACTCTCACACTCACACACACAGTCATCGTGTGAGTGCGCTCTCTTATACTAATGCATTTTGATACTGGCCTTGAACGTGAGTTGCATTTCGTCGCAAGCAAAAACAACAAAAAAAGCTCTAAATCTGATAGAGCGGGGCAGCGTGCCTAAGGCGAAGAAGATAGAGTGTGACAGCAAGGCAGCGCAAGAAATGTGTACCAAAGCAAAAAGCTGTAAGTATATACAAACACACACGCATACGCGCGCAAACAAACAAACAAACCAAAAGCAAAAGCAGAAAACGAAATGCAAGCTGTTCGCCTGCATTTCCCGCTCTATCTTGTTAGGGCCTGCTCTTTCTCTCTCTCTCTCTCTCTCTCTCTCTCGTGCTGTTGTGCCAACTAAATTCAAAGCAGTCTCAAGGTTATCGCACACTCTCACACACACATGTACATATGTAGTATGTATATGGGTACTTGCATATGTATATATATATGCATATACATAAGCACACTCTCTCTCTTGCACTCAGCTGCGCAATATCTAGCTGTGCGCTAGGCAGTTATTGAGGTTTTTCCCTTCTTTTTTTGGCAATTTTATAAGCTCAAAAACTTTCCAATTGCATTGCCCAGCGATCCAAGTCGCTAAATTAAAAAACATAAATTCTTAGACAAAATTTACTTTTCGCCTCGTGCCATAATTCTTTTCGCTTTTTCGCCGCATGCATTCAGATGCATCTTTATAACAGTCTCCTTATAACAGCTGTTGTGGATGTAAAGTACTCTGACGAACTAGTACATATGTACATATACACATACTTCAAATCTAGAACAGCTGTTATATGTTTTATCTCTTACTAACTTACATTTTCCTTTGAAGTTCTATAAATAGGCATTAGCTACTTCGTAACCGTCCCGGTTCTTTTCAATTTGCAACCTGACTGCCTAATTTACAGCTGATTTCATTTGTGCGATAACGACGGTAACTAAAGCTACATTTCATTAATATACTATAACGTCTAATGAAATTGTAACCGTTTTGCTGGCTTTAAGCTATGTTACTGAACTTGCAACGTTGCTGTCGTTCTCAATTGACGTAAGTGACGAGGACTGCAATCGTTAGCAGGGGTGGGGGGTGTACATATGTACATACATATGTATGTGCATACATAGATACGTATTTATGTACATACACCCACACATTCACACACACACAACCAAACACGCACACAGTGGCATATAAAATGGTAAAGTTGAGAGTGTACGAAACTCGATAAATTCCATTTGTCAAGTGCGGCAAGGGTCGAATGAAATCGAAATTACTTTTATTCCAATATCCAGAGCTTCACACACACACATGYATAGGCGTGCAAATGCAATACAAAAACATACAATATGTTTTCCGTTAGCTTTGGCAGCA